ACAACAACTAAACCACATTATTTATTTTAACTTATTTAAACAACTTAACAACTTTTTAACTTGAACTAGTTTAGTTTTGAATTAATTCCAACAACTAAATCCATCAACAAAACCACATTATTTAATGTAACTTATTTAAACAACTTAACAACTTTATAACTTTAACAACTTAACAACTTTTTAAAGTTAAGTGTCAACACTAGATGGACACAAATCAATCTTGCAAGAAAATCAATTTTGTCATCAATAGGATCAACTAGTGTTGGTACTTATGCTTAACAAACACATTATTCCTAAATGAAAGCTTAATATCAACACTAGATGGACACAAATCGATCTTTCAAGAAAATCAATTTTGTCATCAATAGGATCAACTAGTGTTGGTACTTATGTTGAACAAATATATTATTTCTAAATTTAAAGCTAAGTGTCAACACTAGATGAACACAAATCGATCTTGCAAGAAAATCAATTTTGTCATCAATAGGATCAACTAGTGTTGGTACTTATGCTTAACAAACACATTATTCCTAAATTAAAGCTTAATATCAACACTAGATGGACACAAATCGATCTTGCAAGAAAATCAATTTTGTCATCAATAGGATCAAATAGTGTTGGTACTTATGCTTAAAATATATATTATTTCTAATTTTAAAGCTAAGTGTCAACACTAAATTGACACAAATCGATCTTGCAAGAAAATCAATTTTGTTATCAATACGATCAACTAGTGTTGGTACTTATGCTTAACAAACACTCGATGGACACAAAAAAATTATCACAAAATTAAAGCGAAGTATTAATACTAGATGGACACAAACACATCATTGAAAATAATTGTACTTGAACTTAAGAAATTTAGAAGCGCCAACCTTATCTCCAACTTTGATGAAAGAAGCAATATAGTCTTGTATCAACTTTTTTAGATGTTGAGCTTCCTCAGTTGCCTAGCACGGAAAGTTCTTAAATTAGTTAAATATAAACTTAAAATCCAAGAATACTAGTTTTATATATATATATATATATTCAAATTTTAATAAGTTCAAGTTTCAATTCAAGTTCATATCTAATTTCTAAACTTAATTAGTTATATATTCAAGATAATTAGTTCCAAGTTCAAGTTCTAATTTCAAGTTCATATTCCTAATTAAGTTCAATTTATAGTAAATTCAAGTTATAATTAATTATATGTTCTAATTAAGTTGTAATTCAAATCCTTAAAATTCCAAATTCAAACTAGCTAGCTAGTGTCCAAATTTCAAACTATTAATTAGTCCTAAAATATCAAATATAATTCAAACTATTCGTCCTAAATTCCAAATTCAAACTAGTCTTAAAATCACAAATTGAAAGTACTCCTAGAATTCAAAAATCAAACTATAGTGCTAAAATTCCAAATTCAAACTATTTGTAACACCCCGGAAATTTTTGAACTAAGACTCGAACCGTTCATCGTAGTGAGTGAGATTTTGCCAAGGAATTAAAATTTCTAAAGTGTTAAGTTCACTAGATGTAGCACCTTGAGTTTGAAAAAGAACTAAATTGGAAATAGCAAAATTTGAAATTTTGCAAGTTAAGCTAAGTATGAATTTTGGGTTGACTTCAAACGACCATCACTCATAGCGCAAGATGAGTTAGGTGGGCTACAAGATAACGTAGGAAAGACCTTTTAATTATCTTCCCAACGCCGCCGAGTTTGCTAAGTTTCGAGGTTGGATGAGTGAGATATGACCTTTTGAAGTTAGGCTGCCCAGTTAAGGAAAGTTAGCCGGAAATAGTAAGGGGTATTTTGGTCTTTTCCTTACCCAATCAGATTTAATTCGTTTTAAGTAATATTTTAGGGGTGGGGTATAATCTGATAAGGTTCAGTTTTATAACCCTAGTTTACGCCTAGGGTTTTAGTTGAAAGAAAAGAAGAGAAAAGAAGAAGAGAAAAGAGGAGAAGATCAAGCGTTCGTCGAGATTCTTGCGTCTTGTTGCGGATTTTCGCCATGGGTTTAATCCCTAAGAGGTATGTAGGTTTCCATACTGTTGGATTTGTTCACCCACACGCCAAACATGTTATTTTCAGCGCAAATTTCAATCTTGAAGTTGAAAGATTTGAGTTCTTGATAGGTGTTCTTGAAGTTCATTCTAAATATTGTTGTGTTGGGTTTTGGATGATTTCTTGAGATCAAAGTGAGTGTTTTAATGGATGTATTAAGTAGATTAGAGTGTACTTATGTTGAGTAATCAATTCTAAGTGATTGGGGAAGAAACCATTCGATTCTAGGCGAAATAGGGTGAGAAAACGAGAAAAAAAACTTGCTGAATTTTCTGGGTTGGAGCCTAGCGCAATGCGCCTGTCAGAGCGCCCCAAAACCACCTCTGAAGTTTAGGGGCTGGCGCCCAGCGCCACCAATAGCGCCAGGGTCGCTTGCCCCACCCAGTTTGTCGTCGGTTGCCCCATTTGAGTTTGTTTAAAGTGCACCTTCACTCCTTTTCGATTCTAACTACTCTAAGCTACTTCTAAACACCTAAATTAATTCCTAACATGATCATAACCTTTAATTCATAATTCAAATTCAAGGTAGAGTTAAGATTTAAGTTTTGAGAATTCTTTAGAACATTCTAAGAAAGTCCCTCTGAGTTCTTTGAGGAGTCTTCTACAACTTCTAGTAACTTGTTTCAAGACTCAAGTAAGTGAGAATGAGAGTGAGGAGAATGTATTCATGAGTGTACACTATCACCTAGATCTTTCACATCATGAAACATAACTCTTGAATTCATAATTCACATTCAAAAGAGAGTTAAAAGTAGAGTTCAAGAAAGCCAATGAGTTCAATTGTGAATCCTTTGAGATCAACCATCATTTTGAACTAAGTCTTGAGGTAGTAAGTAAGAGAATGAGAAGTGTCGTATACATGAGTTCCATGTAGTTTGTAGACCTTCGAGTCAAGTCGTTCATGCCCATAAATTCCGTATGAACTCCATAAGTTGAGTATCTATGAGAGGAATAATATCTCCACGTCCTAAGTCTTAAGTATTGAGTTTATCATCCATTTGAGATTATAATCCTAATCATGGGACTATTACCTATTACCCATGAAGTCCATGAGTTGAGTTGTTCATGCCCATAATTCCGCATGAACATTATAAGTCAAACAATCTTGAGATGAGAAGTATTTTTGAGTCCTTGAGTTGAGTAGTTCATGCTCATAAATTCCTCATGAACCCTCTGAGTTGAGCATTCTTGAAGTGAGTAGTATTATTGAAGTTCTTGAGTTCCAAGTATGAGTTCTATCTATGGTTATTGAAAACCTTGCATTGAGTCATTCACGTGCATAATTCGGTGTGAACCATATTTTAAGAAGTCTTTTACAAACGTTTTAACATTGTTTTAAGATTTAAGTTTTGAGTTAAGCAAAGATTACAGAGTAAAGAGTTGAGTTCATTTCTTCAAAAGAGTATATCGGGACTATGTACTCCCAAAGAGTAAATGTGTTCACATTTAAACAAGAAAGGAGGCTGAGATTTCAAAAGAGCCTTTGAGCTAGTTTTTCAGTGAAGAGGAAACTATGATTTCCAAGAGAACTTTTCAGCTAAGTTTTGAGTAATTATCTCAAACCAAAGAAAGAGTTTTGTTTTACAAACATATGAGCTAAGTACGTTTTGGGAGTAGTATTGAGCACCGATATGGGTATGAGAGTTCAGATAACTCAAGTCTCCATAAACCATGTAGCCATCATGGATATTAATAGGTCATCCTTTTTAGATGAGCACATAAGTTAGGCTAGTGGATCTACTAAGTTAAAGTGTCTATATGACGGCAAAGTATAGGACAGTTCTGGCAGCGTGGCCAAGACGATGTATCACCTCTTAGGCTTATAGTGGTGGCTGTCGGTTAGAGAATCTCCCACAGAAACTATATTACTTTATTATATAAGTAAAGTTGAGTTTGTTATTGCATTTTTTTTAACGAACTAAGTTGTTTTTACTGTTTCATAAAGTTTTCCGTATATTGCATATATATTGTTGCTTTATATAGAGATGAGTACCCAGAGTCGATTATCATATCTTAGAGTTGAATATCTTATCCCTGAGTACTTCTGAGTTGAGTAAGTTTTAGTAGTTTTGAATATCCTTGAGTATTCCTTGAGTTGAGTAAGTTTGAGAAGAGGTAAGTATGTTTCCTTTTTATCAAGTTTCAAGCTTATGTTTATGTTTTAGAATTCCCCTTACATGCTCGAACATTCCATGTACTGAGCCATTTGGCCTGCATCTTCTCATGATGCAGACACAGGTATTCAGGATCATCAACAGGAGCTTCGTTGATACATCCGAGAGTTAGAGTTAGCTATGGTGAGCCTCCTTGCTTCCGGAGGATTTCATTTACCTTGCAATTTAGTCAGGATGTCATGGGTCTTGTCCCGACTTCCATATTTATCAGTTAGAGGCTTCATAGATAGTCAGTATAGTTGAGAAGTCTGTATTATTTATTTATTTTATTAAATATTTCAAAGACTTAAGTTGCCAATGGGGCGAGTTGAGTATATTTTATTATTCAGAGTTTTCATTTGAGTTAAACTTTGTATTTAAGTTTTATGAACTTTTATTTCAGTTTTAAGCTTTTGCATGCTTAAGTTAGTCTTCCGCTTGAAGTCAGCCAGGATAAGAGTTCGCTTGGGGACCAACAATGGTTCTTGAGTGCCGGCCACGTCCTGGGTGTAGGCTCGGGTTGTGACACTATTAGTAGTCCTAAAATCTCAATAATAATTTAAACTAGACCTAAATTCAAGCTAGTCTTAAAATCACAAATTCAAACTAGTCCTAAAATTCCAAAATCTAACTATTGCTAAAATCCTAAATTCAAACAACTCCTTAAATACCCTAATTCAACACACCACACGTAGAGGATTATTGGAACATCATTTAAACAAAACAAAGGATCGAATATGCAATAATGATGAAATGAGATCAAACAAAACATAAAAGCTCAAATTCTCGAAATATTCATCTCATAATAACCAGAGATGTAATGAAAAGCTAAAGATAACTTTTCGATTAAAACTTATTGGTTCTCCCGGAGTTGAGAGGAATGGAGATGCAAGGATCTCACTGGTTCGCTGTTGTCGTTGTTGCTGATGCGCTGTTGTTTCACCGGTAGCTCGTCGGAGCTGGCTCTCGCGTTGGTTGTTGTTGGCCGGAGATGATGTTGCTCTCCTCGCCCACTGCTGATGTTGATTGCTTGGAGCTCGCTGGCCGAAGCAGTTAAGGGAGAGAGAGAGAGAAGCGAGCTTTCGCTGATTGGAGAGACGAGAGGGAGGCTGTAATTTGTCTCGCCATTCTCGCAGGAGAGAAGAGACGGGAGGGAGCAAGGAGAGAAGAGGAAAGTGAAGGGAGGAGGGCGAAGGGAAGAGGGCGACAGGAGGAGAAAGAAGGAGAGCTAACCGGCGATGGTGGAGCTCTCGCTGGTTCTCACTGATGGAGGGGGCTGTTAGAGAGAGAAGAAAAGCATGAGTTTTCAAAAAAGGGTTTGGTCTTTTCGTAGGTCAAAATAGGAAGGTTAGGTAGATTTAATCTGAGCCATTGGATTAGTTAAGATAAGCGGCAAGGATTTAATCCAGGATTCACTTAAAGGATAAACGGTTCGGATTTAAACTAATGTTTCAAGATTTGGACAAAAAGGGTTATAATTGCAATGAATGAATGGCTAAAATTGCAACTAAAATTAATATAAGAGGCTATAATTGAAAAACAAAATTGGATTGAGGTGGCTTGAATTGCAATGAATTGGATAAGGAGAAAGCTAGAATTGAAAGGAATTAGATCAGAATGAGCTAAAAGTTAAATGATTTCGAGAAAAATTAAAGAAATGTTATCCAATTAAAATACTATAAACATTATAACATTTTATATAATAAAAATCACTTAAATTTTAAAACATTTGAATAAAATAATTATTTTGAGTTTTACTTATAATTTTAAAAATATTTTAATAATATTTACGATAATTTTATAAAGCATGGATACTAATATATATATTTTTTAGACAAAATCAATTAAAAAATTTAACTCAGAATATTTTTTCAAAAAATACGTATTTAACTGAATATCACTTCTGAAAGGGTTATAGGTCGGTAAAAATTGGGTGTCAACATACCGACATCGTGAAGTCGATATTATTTAAATAAAATAATTATATAAATATACCGACCTCTTTAGGTCGGTATTTATTAATTTTATTTTAATATAAACTCACCTCTTGAAGTTGATTTTATTAATTAAAATAACATATATATATTTATGTATATATATATATACATATATATATATAATTTAACTACACATCAACAGAAGTTTAATTTAATAAATGTAATTTATCGATCAAGTTAATTTTATAAATTTAAATTATATACCTTCTAATTATATAAATTTAATTTTATTGATCAACAAAAGTTTATCAATATCAAATTTAATATATAAATCTCCTTGAATTGATCATCGGTATTTCTTTAATTGATAATGTATTTCATATCTGAACCACTAGTATATAAGACTTGATTTGTTAAACTACTCGAGGAATATATAATTAATCAACATATTTCATACTCTGATGAAGTATCCTTTACATGTCATCATAATTAGGAGGTGATCACTACACTTGACATTCATTCAAGATCGAACATATATAATAATACTATCTCGCATTTCATACTCGAATGGATTATATGTTAGCTCTTCACCTCTACTACATCATGACATGGGATATTAAGTTCATGATTAGACGACAGACTGATAGAATTTGTACATTACTCTATAAATATAAGTATAATTATCTCCTAATTCATATCAACGTAGTTTCATACTCTAAATAAGGATTATAGATATTTTTTTATTTATTCCACGAATTCTAACTTTGTATTTATAAAAGTATACAAAATTGTAGGTGTAAAATGAAATTTTAATATTATGCAAAATAGCAAAATTATGATTAATAGGAATATTTTAAACAAATCGACCTCCGGATGTCACTTTTATTAAAAGTAATTAGATATAATAAAAAATACCGACCTCATGAGGTCGGTATCACATTAAATTTTAAGATAAATAAAAGTAATCATGTTAATTAAATAATATTGACATCGGGAGATCGGTATTTTATATTAAATTATTATTTAACTTATATAAACTGTCATTCGGAGGATGATTTATTTAAAGTTAATTGAAAATATTAATTTATTACATACTATTTGATTTTACCGACATCCGGAAGTCGGTATTATAATTTTTTTGTTTTTTATTTTACACAAAACCGTCCTCCAGAAGAAGATTTAAATAAAATTAAATCAAAATATTTCTCAATTTTGTTTTCTATATGGAGAAATAAGGAAAATCGCGTCTGCTAGTGCAAATATTTTAAAAAAAGCGACGGACAGTGTCTCTATGTCCGTCGCTTTTTTAAAAAAATGTTTGACCAATATTTTGACCAAAAAGTGACGGACTAAGAGACATTGTCCGTCGCTTTCTTAAAATATTGACCAGATATTTTGACCAAGAAGCGACGGACATAAAGATGATGTCCGTCGCTAATTTAAAAAATAATTAAACAATTAAAATTAATAAAAAGCGACGGACGACATGGCTTTTTTTTAATTAATAAATAATTATTTTTAATAAAAAACGACAGACTGAGTCGCTATCTATATAAAATAATTAATTAGCAAAAATCCGCGAAAAAAAGCGACGGACTAAGAGATGCCGTCCGTCACTTTTTAAAAAAATTAAATAAAAATTATTTTAATTAAAAAGCGATGGATAGTGTGGCTAATGGCATCGCTTTTTGGAGCGACGCCGTCCGTCGCTTTTACTTCCGTCATTTTTTAGCAGATTTTTAGTAGTGTGAGTTAATGTCATTGCATATGATGTCACTAAAACCTTTAATGACATTTATATAGAGTATTGGTTATAAATGCTCATATTTATTGATTTTTGCCATTAAATACAATATAGCGTTATATTATTGCCACTAAATCATTTATTTATTATAGTGAGGCTATTTATAAAGACTCATGGTTGGTGTCTTCTTGTCGTCCATTGCTTATTTAGTCATTGTGAAGATCATTATGTTGAATTGTAGGAAAGAAGATATATTAGATGTTGTGTAAGCTATTTAAACTCTATGAATACATAAACTATGTCGTAGAGGTAGATAGGTTATTTTCTAAAGACTCTTGATATCGAATGTGATCTTTTATTATTCGAGAGAGATCACACCATTCTTGTTGATGAATTTGGACAATAAACCTTAATAAAGGATAGTTAATAAAGAAGAACGGAAGAAGTAATTGACAAAGTTTATAAAGGCGACTTAAATTTAAAGTTTTACATGAAATGATAAAATTCAACATTCAAAAAATGATTAAAAGACAACCTGAGCTTGGAGATACGATTAAAAGAAATGATTAAAATGCAATCTTGAACCTAGGGGAAAGAATTATCAACATCCTTTTCTTCATTGTTGTTTCTCCCTTTTCTATCACAACCAACATTCTTTTCGTTTGTTTTGATACTTGAATCTTCGTTTGCTAAATGATTCATATTTGGGTCTTCTTCAGTTGGACGATTCCAATTATATTCATCTTTAATTGGTGAGAGCCTAGAAGTACACTGTGGAATGGAAGGAAATTTGATGAGATAAGAAAATAAGTTTAACAATTTCTTTTATTTTATCAAATATCTAATTATCAAAAGTAAAGAAAAAGCAAACTATTGTTGAATAATATTAGAAACTTGTTGAAAATACTTGATGTTACAGAAGAAGATAGACATGCTTTATATGAATTACCTTATAAAGGTTATCAATGGAACGAAATTTGGTACTTCTCGGTATTCCTTGTGTGATATGATAGTTTCCATTATTTTTATCTTTTGCCAAAAGTCTCGAGCCATAATTGATAATATTGTCGTTTATAATACGATCAAAATTATCTGGGATACCATCTTCACATGTAATTTTGTTGAGATCTGACTCACCTGAAAATTATATGTGAGATTATATGATATATGTGAAACAAATTAGAAGTTCAAAAAGTGGACTAAAGCTTTAATCTAATGACTGTATTTTTAGGCTATCAATGTGTTTTGTGCCATTTAGGGCAACAATTTAAATTACCATGCACTCATTGATTTAAATTTAGGATAACTCTCTACTTTCGATGGAAAAAAATTTAAATAATTAACATAATTTTAATGTTTAAGATGTAAAATTCCTTAAGTACCATCAATATTTTCTTCTTGTTGTTGGTCAAGAAGTTCCTCCTCAACATAATCCTTTTGATCCCGTCTTATGTTGCTTTTGCTACATTCTTTGAATTTCTCACTTTCTAACTCCTGCGAATCCATATTGTTTCTTAATAAATGATTTGAGATAGAAAAGTATATTGTGGAATATAAGAACCGTGCTCAATAAAAAATTTAAATAGATATAAGTACTGAACAATTACCTCGCAAGCATGAAGGAGGGGATACAAACACGTATTGTCAATGTTATTGTCTATTAAGGTAGCACTATAATTATCCAATGGGTTATCTTCACCACGGCTCTCAAACTCACCTGAAAATCATAAATAACCAAATGAAAGATAAATAGTAGTATAAGTCATTTATAAGTTGTTGAATAAACTAATAAATTATGTACTGTGAATAATTTGTCGTTCATGGTCGGCTGCATCCTTCCTCTCTTTCATGGAAAGCTGTGAATTGCTTCCCTTGTTCCCTTAAAAACAATATTATTTAAAATTTTATTTTACTAAAAAAATTTATTAATGATACATCGAAATTAATTTTTCTGACTACCAATACTCCAATTAATTTTTAAAAAGTTATTTAATAATAAGATTAAAATTAAAAAAGACATTAATTCTCTTTTAATTTATTAAAGTGAATAAGTAAAATAATAATCAACATAAGTCAAGTGTAAGATGTTGAATGAATTAATTACGTACCATAAATAAATTTTTGCTTTCGCTTGTTCGGTAATATTTTCTTGGAAGAGTCCCCTTGGTCCTCTCCAGAGGATTTCTTATTCCTCTTGGCATCTTCTTTCTTTTTCTTTTGTGCTTCGAGCATATTGGGCATATACTGTGGAATGAAAAACAAAAAACAAGGTCAACTAATTATTCAAATTGACAAATTATGCTCGCAAAAAGCAAGATCTTCCCTCCATACTAAAGAGTCTAAAGTTGAAACACAAATGAAATTCTAGAAATCACAAAAGGAACTTAGTTAGGTTAGTATACACATATGCTGTTGAAGCTACATATACTTTATCCTAATCATCACCGTACATATACACTGTATTTCATAAAGTAAAAATGATTGAAAAAAGTAGAAATAGATTTACATATAGATCTGAGAGCCGAAACAAAGCCTTTTGATTTGAGAGAAACATAGAAGAATGATTCTAAGGGATGAAGAAAGCACCATCCTTCAGTGATGCTCATTCTCAGATCGAGATGGAAGTCTCGTTCTCATATTGGAAAATATAATTGAGTGAATGTTTGTGGAAAATTGATGGAAGTCGCATTGTATTTAAATGAAATTGTTCATACATATCAATACACAACAAAAAAAGCAACATACCTAATGTTTTCCCACAAATAGGATTTGAAAAGGGTGAGATATACACAAATTAGGGTTTGAAAATAGGAAGATGTACACAACTTTTGCTACAACCTTTTTGGGGTAGAGATTTTTTTCGAGACAAAAAAAATTGAAACAGGATTGCAAGAAGGAGAAATCAAACATTTGTCAATCTTGTTAATTATAGGTTTTAAAATTTATTAGAAATGGTCTATAAATTCAAAAACAAGACACTTGCTAAAATGAACTGCAAATTTATAAATGAACACAATGGCAAAAAATTGAGAAACAAAACAAGATTTGAATTGAATCAAACTCACCTTCACGTAATTCGAGTATTTTATTGCGAGAAAATAAAAGGCAAAACTGAATTGAATAAAATGAATGAGTGAATTAATACCGTCTCAATCGCGTTTATATGTTCCTCTTAGTTGTTGATCTATCCCTTTAAAAAAATTCAAGTAAGTGAAGAGGCAAATGATGTCTCTAATCACCTATATTTATTCAAGTGTCTCCTCTTGACTGCTTATATATTTTTAAAAAACTAAGATTAAAATGAAGAAGTGAATCAAACAGTATCTCGCCTTTTATACGTACACTCTCGATTGCTAAGTTGTTTCTTGAAAACTATGTTTGTTCAATTTTGGAAAATTTATTATTTGTCCATAAACGGTAAGATAAAATTTTAAAGTGCAAAGGTATGAACAAACTAGAGTTTTAAATCAATTATTGCAAAGAATTTTATTATTGTGCCAATAGTGATATTTTGACATTAATTGAAAAATTTACTTAAAATATATCATTTATTTCTTTTACCTTTGTCATTTATTATATTTTGTAGTGTGTATTAATTATAAGGATAATACATGACTACTTTGATTTTGACTTTGACCAGATAAATTTAAATAGTTTTTATAGAGTTAGTCAAATATCATATCTAATGCAAACCATCAGAATCACTACAAAATTGATATAGGACATTAAATTGTGAATGAGGTAATAATATTTTTCTTATAAAAGATAATAGTCAGTTTGACCTAAATTAAAGTATTTTGAATTTATGTTTTGGAGTGGAAGACTGCACATCTCTTTTCTTTAAACTTGTTTAGATTATGAAATTCACAAATATGTGACACACATAAAACAATATATTTGCAATTTTTCATATAATACTATAGGATATATTAAAATAAAATAAAAACTTAATTTTAAATTAAATGAAAAACATTCACTTTTTCCTGCAATATGATAGACGAATAATTTATGGGTAAATGAAATTAAAAAAATTAATTGTTATGACGTATCTGTTTATATGTCTCCTCTTAATTGTTGAACTATTCCTTTGAATAGTAATAGCATCAAGATATTTAGTAAAGAAATTCAAAAAATAGTTGAAGATAAATTCAATCCTGGTGTGGGAGACAAAAAATGTATAAATATTAGAAAAATAAGCCTATTTATAAAATATAATTTTTCAATGAATGCAATTTAATTGAAACCCCTCCCCAATAGATATTTTCTTCATTGCTTTAGAAAACTACATTCATCGAGTTTGGATCATTCAAATTTATTGCTTTACAATTTAAAATGCAACAATATGAAGAGATAAAAGTTCTAACTATCACAATCCAAAAATTGGGTGTGATGAAATATGCCTTATCCAATCAAGACAGGTGCATCTAAACAATCATTGACAAGGGTAAATACGAAAGTAAGAAAGGAAATAAGGACTAAACATAACGTAAGAATTGCGGAAATGATAACATAAACAAAACCTTCCCCAAAATCTGATGTCATGTAAACAAGCCACTAGGTAAATATACAGGTTTTTATAAATTAACAAGTCTGGATGTCTACAATCCTAGAATAGTAGAAAGACATAGTCAAGAGTAAGTGACGCCTTCCACGATGACTAACAGGTACCTCACAAACTCCTCAAATCAAGCCTCGGACACTGATGCGAGAGGAGGATGAACGGAGCTCATAAACTACACAAGTATAGAAAACAAGGGAGTGAGTGATGAGTGGTGAATTTCCACTCATTTAAGGCTCTTTTCATAGTTACTTTGACTTGCTTTAGTTTAGAATTGGTGTTTTTAATGTGGTTTACCTCATATTTGCAGGGAAATGAAATGGAGAGTTGATTAAGAATATGATTGAAGAAATTAAGAGGAATTGAAGCAAGAAGAGGTCAATTAGAAGAAAGTGGAACTGACAGAAGTTTGGTCATAGCGACTTAATTTCTCTTTGATTATTTATGGATTTTAACTTCAAAACTTAGGATTTTGATTGGCAAATGGCAAGGTTTTTAAAGATCTGGAGTTTTAAACTAAAATGGTGATTGTGAACTCTTTTTAATTCCTTTTTTCGAAATGGTTTTCATTAATGAGTTCAAAAATGCCTTAACTAATGTTTTCAAGTAAAAAATTTCGGATTCAAACCTCATTTCTGGAATTGAGTTTCTGAGTTGATTTGCCCATTATTCAAATATATGAATTGAGAGTTGCTATATCCGGAATCTTATTTTGATTACTTGATTGAATTAGATTGTGGGGTATTGGATATCATTCGGAAGGGGATGACTCAAGTCTTGGATTGACTAATTAATTGTGATAAGACAAGTGATCTCTTAAACTTTGTAATCTATTAGAATCGTTTATTTCCATTTATTATGTGGGTTGGGGAGTAACAAGAATGAGGTGAAGGGTTCATTTTTAACTTGATTTATCTTAATGAATAAAAAGGGATTAATAAAAAGTCAATGTGTTGATCATAATACTTTGTGAATTGTCTTGTTATGGCCTCTACTTGATTGATTGATGAAATCTTTGATGGCATGATTGTGGACTTGAATTGCTTGAATTGTTGTCTCTTCCTTATGGTGTGAAATTATTTATATGCATTGATTATTGTACACCATGATAATACATGTGAAATAAAGTCAAAGGGAAATGGTTCTGGCGAGTGAAATGATATTAAGCCGAAGAGAAATAGTTCCAGCTAGTGAAATGATATAAAGTATAAGGAAAATGATTTCGGCTAGTGAACTAATGTAAAGCCAAAGAAAAATAATTCTGGGTAGTGAATTCATATAAAGCCAAAGGAAATGGTTCTGGCTAGTAATGTGATATAAAGCCAGAGGGAAGTAGTTTCAACTAGTGATGTGATATAAAGCCAATGAAAAATGGTTCCAGCTAGTGATATTGTGCCAAAGGAAAATGGTTATGGCAAGAAATTATTGATGTGATTTAATGTATTTTTATACTTGTTATTGGTCTACTTGTTACATGTGAATTGACGTAGTTAATATGTGTTGGTTGTGGTTAAGTCTTGTGAACTCTATGTTGTGAAACTGTTACGTTAGGTTCTCCTCCTCCTCCTTATCTTGTTCTTATTTGGCTCAACAACAATAAAAGAGCCTTAATCACCCATCCAAGAGTCAATCGACAAAACAAATTATTTGTTCATTGGGTGCTCTATATTAAATTTATACAAATCTCTCTTAATTTTTTCATAGATATATATATTTGAGACGAGGTTAATAGGTGTTAGAGCACCCGGTGAACTCCATGTGGGTTCACATATATATATATATCCATTCATTCTACATTTTATTTTCCACTCACCAGCACACATTACAAACAAAAATACACACTCCATTACATACTCACATAAAACAATACCCAAAAACAACAACCTCACATCACTTCCCCTTAACCCTCATTATCTCACGACATAAAATTAAAGGTAACACTTAATTTTCATTATATGAGTTATTTCACGATTATACAAGACCTGATATCAATATTACGAAGTTTCTCAAATTTTATGGGTGTTTAATTTTGACATTATAATATTGAAACATGTTTAAATCTTTTATATCATTAAATTCATAATAAATGTGATATATCATGTGATTCTTAATTGCAAAGCTCATCTAAGGTCCGTTTCTTCATTTGATTTAGTGATCATTTGTGAATAATGTTCTATTAAACTAATTATTTTATGGTGTTTGGTGTATATGTATATGTGCCTATGTTAACTGAATAGATTACAACGACAACTAATTAGGATTAAAACAAATGATAGGAAATACGAGTTTGTTAAGTTAAGTAATCTTACCAAGGATTGCTAACAAAAAGGGGGTGACAAGGTTTTATGCGTTTAAGTTGGTATAATTCTCTACTGGTTACATTATTTGAATTTTCGATAATGAGTTTAATTTTTTTTAGATAATTTGTTATTATGTTCTTATTTTAATCGGGTCATTCGGAGCATGTTAAGCCTATTAATCATAGGCAACCATTAGGATAAATCGAATGTTAGGAAAATTTTAAACATATCTTATATTCGTAAACAAAGATCGTTGTTATCATGCGTTTTAGATAAAGACATAAAAAATAGAATGTCAATGTCGTGATTATACGTCTTGACCTAAGTATTTTGTTAAAATAATAATCTTTGATTTAAGCAAGTTACTAATTGCTTTTTATATT